ACTTGAATATCTCGAGAAAAAAAGATTCTTTTGAGCTGAAAATTTCAAAGTGTTCTAATTGTGAATGGATATATCTATAGGCAACCTTTCAAATCGAAATGCCATCGTTCAATTTTTCGTATATATTGTGTTTTATGGGAAAATTCTACTAAAATGTCCGTAACTTCGGATCATAGGCTTAAGGGCATTCAATCTTTTGGGGTTTTTGATATTTCACTGGGGTCTATTGAATGAACAATTGAAACCGTTCTCTCGTAAGATTAATTACTTTCGTTGCATTTGTTAAATGTAAAAACGATCCTCATGATTTAACGTCTCAATTTTCTGCTTATGGTACTTTATTATTCAAATCTATAGCTATGCTTATCTTTTTTTCTAAAAAAAAGCCACAGTAGACAACGTAATATTCAATATCAGAACTCAAAATGTGAACAATGCATAAATATATCAAAGCCAAATGTATCCATTATTAATACTAAATTCATCACCAACTAACATATCTGTATGTATTCTAATAATTCTATAAAACTTTCATTTATTATTTGTATAGTGTTAGTGAATGAAGATTCTGACGAAGATTAAAGAGAAGCAATTGCTTATGAACAAAAATTAGGTTCATCATTGGATCATGCTTAAAATTCGAAATATTCAACTAACAATGTAGGTATCCCATGTCATCAAAATCGGGGGGAAGTCGACGATTTAATCGCGATTCATCGCCCAAACGTTGGCGATTTCGAAGACATGGGTACAAAGTTGTCTTGCAAATATATTTCTTTTTCTTGCTAGTATACCATTCTATATTAATTGTTATACAAATTTAATTATTTCAAAAACATTTCAAAATGAAATGAGAAAACTTATTTTATGCAAATAGATTATCAAATATATATCAAGTTTAATCAATAGAATTACTATAGTACAATTGAGTAAGGACATTTTGACTCTATATATATCATTGTAATTATCAGTTTGGCTATTGTAATAAAGTTTCGTTCTGTGTTGATTGTTGCGTATATACCACAGCGGTTATTTTCTTTATCATTGATACATGTGATTTACATTTGTATTTAATTATACGTTGTATTTGAGTTTAATAGAATATATTACAACGAAAATATGAACTTCCCAAGCATACTTTAATCTCATTGTTTATTTCACTATTATTATCTCATAACAAAAAAAATGCAGAAAGGAAAAAAAATTAACTCTCAAATATCAGATCTTTTTCATTAATAAGACAAGTATAATACCATAAGCCTAAAATTTAAAATAACTTTCGAAATTTTTATTTTAATCTCTCCACTTACCATACCCATAATTGAAAAAAATTGAATCTCATGAAATGAGTTCAATCTTTGCATTTGTTCATTTAATAATTTTAATTCATAGATTATGTCTTTCAACATCCGTTTAGTTGATCCATTATTGTAGTTACCAACTAATGAATAGTTAATATTTTCATTAACAATTGTATTGGATAATATTTCAGATTGACTGGTCATAATAGATGAATTATTGCTACTTGTACACAACAGTGATCGAATAAAATGCATAAGAGTAAACATCAGAATATGATTATATTGGATAGTCCTATTCATATTTATACTTTTGCTGATATATGAACTACTGACCTTCACTACAAAGATGTCCATAGCTGCGCTGCCGCTGCCGGCCGCGATACGGCAGCGTCAGTTAATTCTTTTTATCGTAGCGACGTGGCAACGGCAGCTGCTACAAAAACATTTTTCAATACTCATGAATTTAGACATAATTTTGATTTTGGTGGGTACTGCACTGAAAGACTTGATGAGCTTAACCGATTACTGACAGCAGCTTTGGTTTAAATGTCTCAGAGTCCTGAAAAACCAGAGATTTTGAGAAGCACCATCGCGGTAGCGGCTGGTTTGAAGATCTAGATTAGCCGATAGGCAAATCTCTATAATTTATAGTAATCATTGTAAAATAATTCAGTAGTTTGATTAATTATTCAAATTCCCATACATGATCAGTTATATTTTCTGGTTTAGTTTTTAATTTTTAAGTGTCATGAATAGATTTAGAAAAGCGAAGAAAGAAGAAAAAAAGAGCAAGTAATTGTTGATGGAATAGGTCAGTATATACTACGGCATTGCGTGACCTTGCTCGGATGAATGATAGGAATGTTATTCTTCTGTCTGCTTCCATCGCATAATATTGAGAAAATACATTTCTGAACGCATTCATACACATGTAAAACAATTTTTTCTTTCTGTTTATTCTAAGCAAAGATAGCACGAGAACAGAGAGAATTGTTTCATATCGTTTTTTTTATAGTCCACCATTCATTTTTCTATCATTCATACTTAGCTGTTCTTGTTTTTGCTCACGTAAATTCGGAATAATATGTCTCAATGGAAACAATTTATTTAAATATTTCTACAATTGATGATATATCTACTTGTATACCCAGGACGATGGTTCCTAAAGCAGGATTACATGAATATCCTACAAAATCCCTGAGAAAACTCGCCTTGAAAATGCCAGAAATTCGATCGAGAAGTGAAGTAACCGTATCCGGCTGCCTGTTTTGACATGTTCTTGTCGATTGCGGCCCAAACTATATAAATATGGTCACCGGATCCGTTCAACCTAGATACAACATTCTAAGTATTCTTAATTTTCGGAGGACCAAGATTTATTACCATCATTACAACAATTACATCATTGATGCTTTTTGGATCTATTTACATCAATAATCAACAACAGACTTTATATTTCGATTCCATCGTGATTATTCTATCTGTCTGTGTGTTATTCAAAAGTATACATACATTATTTATAGAAATCATCATCGTTTGTTTAAAATCAATTGATAAATAAAAATCAGATTAAATTTTTTTTATATTTCATGCTTTTTCTTCTAGATAATATCTTTTCTCATCATGTCATCCTATACAGATACTGCAAATGAAAGCTTACATCACAAAATAGAAAAAAAATTGTTCGACAAAACTGTAACTAAATAAAATCTTTTTTATTTAACAAAACAAGGTTATCTACAAGAAAAAACAGCGGACTTCAAGATTTCAAGATTTTAAAGATTTCAAGAGACTTCAGTTTTTCGGAAGACTTCGATAGGATTCAAAAGACTTTACAGACTTCAAATACCTCAAAAGACTTCTAGACTTTATGGGACTTCATGGGACTTCAGGCATGAAGTCTCTGTTGTATTCCTCTTAGTTACCTATTAATAATTAATTATTTTGATTTATTATTCGATATTTTCCATATGTATTCCCATGATGAAAGATATTCATTCGAAACACAATTATTTCAATGAGAATTTTAAGCAAGAAAACGAAAAGTTGAAAATATTAGAACAAAAAGTATATAAACTAAAGCAAATCGCTGAAAATAACCCTAATATATACAATCCAGTTTGTCAGCAATATTGATCTTTGATTATATACCCAGGTCGAAACGGGTACATCGGATCCCGTCGGACGGGTACTAAATCCGTTGTAATTCAGGTCACCGGATTCGGTCGGATATACGTTGTCGGATTCCGACGCTATCCGTTTTTTCCCTTCCATATCCGTAAATCGGATCCCACAGACTCCGATCGAATTCATATGCTCAGAACCGGTCAGATCCGATCTCTGAATCCGACTGTTTCCGACCAGATCCAGAAGGATTCGGTGTCAAGAAATAGTTGGAATTTACAGTTCACACAACACCGGATTCCATAATAGATCCGTTCAATTACAGCCATCGGAAACTGCCGGTTCATGTAGTAATCCATCGTATCCTTACATCGGATTTGTTTGTCTCAAACAACAGAGATCCGACAGGATTCAGTTAAGGTTCCATATCGGAATTAGTCAGAAAATTATATATGCAACTTATCTGAATTGATCATATATTTTGTAAAAATTAAAATTTTTTACATGAATTGGAAATTCATTCTGGTATGCATTATTGAGTAAAATAAAACCAAATAATCAACGTGGTGATAATTGCATCAAATATGGTAACAATTACGAAATATCAGTAACTATAAATAGTTTCAATAAGTCAAGATAATGACTTCTTCAAAATTCAACAATTCAAATACGACATAAAAGGGTAGTATTTCAAACATTAAAATTTTTTTTCAATAATAAATGCATGTGAACTTAATTCATAATTTCATAATCTTCCATGATAATTAGAGATTTATATTAATTTTAATTTGTTTCATGTTATTGAAGATTATTTTTTTTCTTGTTGATGATCATATTATCGCCACACAATGGATAAAAAATAAACAAACATCGTTTAGTTGTCATTAGTTACATGAAGTCATTCTTAGCTGACTAATCCTAATATAATGAATTGAGATAGTTTAAATTCGAACAAAAACTAACTAAAATCGATCATTAATCTCAAGAAATGAAGTCAAAATCATGCCAAAATACTGCCTTTTTAAAAAGATTAAAGTCGTTTTTTAATAAATTTCTAATTAAATAGCTGATTTATATAACTTTTTAATGAAAACTACTAATGGATGGCTACGATGAATAGTTGATTGATTTGGACGGAAAACATCTGGCCAAAGACCAATAAAATTATAATGAAATATTTCACTTTTACTTAGATTGTTGATGTTCGTTGTAAACGTCCTGTACATTGCTTTTTTTTATAATTACAAATAAATCCAATTAAGTTGTATTTCCTATTGAAGTTTTAGAACGGATATGAAATATAGCCAGTAACTTTGAAGAATTGTTATGTTATAACAATATTTGCTCAAGTTACGTTAGTGATATCTAAGGACATTTGTAAGTTGTATACTGATTATAAGATATAGTTTATAAAATTTGGCGAGACTCAATTGGTTTCTAGAATGAAGAAAACAAGAACCGTCTATTAATATGCTAAATAATTTCATTTTTTTTTCGATCATTTTATACATTCAAAATTTAAACATATAGATAACGATACTTTTTTTACTTTTCGGATAGATTTTAATTAAAGATTTTAACGTTTTGTTACACTATGGATTTCGATCTTGAACAAACTATTGATTTTGTTGAAGACAGAAATTTTAAAAGATCATTAAAATATAGTGAAAAACAAAAGAAAAAGCGTAAATTGTATTTTGAACAACCATCAAATAACAATGAATTACCTGACGTCATTTCTTCATTTCCGCTTCATATCGATATAAAACCAGCACCGGCCAAAAATACGGAAGATAATTATTTTTTGAAGAAACAAATGATTGAAAATCTTGATCATATGAATCAAATTGAAAGTATCAATGCAGATGACGAAGATAATAATGATGAAGTTATCGACTATCCATCTGATGATTCAAAATATTTCATTGATCATGATATTCATCCTGAAAATTTATTACATTACTATACAGATATTTCGACAAATGAATTTTGTTCAAGTTTATTAAATTTATTGAGAAAATCTAATACATGCAAAGTACATGCAAATCGTTTATTATCATTTATTAGTTCAATACTTCCAGCACCAAATAATGTACCGAAGAAAACGGAAGATTTATTAAAACAACTAGAAATAGCAAATAATACTTTCAAGAAATATTTATTTTGTATAATTTGTAAAGAATATCTTTCATTTGAAAATAAATTTTGTTCAAAATGCTCACCGAATGATTCTAGAAGATTTGCTTTCGTTTATGATATGAATATAGAAGAAAGTATCAAAAACATTTACATAAGATTGGAAAGAGATATCAAAGAATATCAAAATCAACTCCGACTTATGGATGATCAAGATCTTACTAATGATATAGGATTTAACAATCTTTATCAACAATTATTGAGAGATAATTCAAATGATAATTTTATAACTTTTTTATTAGAATTTTGTAACACATCATTGAATAAGTCTTGAAAATTTGTCATATGTTGTAAAATAACTAAAAAACATAAAAAATTTAATGGAATTTCAACTTATACACTTACACGAACAATTTTTTTCCACAATCTCCAAACGTTGTTCAAGACCAAAACACTTCTTTTTCAAATCGGATATTTCAATATCGTTATCAATATCAGTACCATTCGAATACAGGCAATCAATAGATCTTTTTTTACCAACTTTAGTTAAATCATCTAAATTAATAAATCATCTACAAATTAAATATAGATACACATGATATTATACTTGTTGTTTCAACATCATTGTTGTTAATATTTGGACCACCTGGATTTTCATTTTCTTTTCCTTCACTCGTTTTCTTCATCATAGCTTTTCCACGCGTCACAATCAGTAAGAGAATCTAAATATATATTGCTATACTAGCATATTGTTTTTCGTGTTTGGCTATAATATATTATTAAAGTATGCAAGTGGAGGAGTCTCATCGTTAACCTCAAATATTATTTTCTATAACTAAATAGAAATAAAATTCAATTAAATATAAATTTTTCATAAATATCTCAACAAAATATTCAATCACATGTACATATGAAAAATACAGATGTCCGTATCATACAAAGTTGTTTCATATGATAAATTACTGATTGCTAATCTACCGATCTCTATTAATTTGTTATGGTCAACAAGGTCCCTACGAATTCGTAGTTATAACTATTATCTCTTTCTATTCAATTACTGATACGAAGAGTTAATTATAATTACCAACTCTGTTAAATATTTGAGAAACTAAATACGAACATCATCAAACTGAATCAATCTGGTATTATCAACAGCATCACATAAAAACTATATAATACAACTAATAAATTGATTATCGACAGCACAACTTTTCAAATCTGCTTTCTTATAAATCTTAAAAATCGACCAACCTTGGTCTTCAAGCAAAACATAAACACTAAAACCTACCGCAAGTTGTTCTCATCCATTTCTCGATCATCTATTTCCACATTTCTTAAATTCGCCCTACCCCGATCATTAATCAAAACCATTCCAAACTACAAACTTATTTCCTACACTACGCTTAACTTTCAGTCCAGAAAAGAAATACTTTAACCGGGTAATCTAGATTATGCTACAATTATATACACCGTCTTGTTATCCAGAAGTTCGTCGATATATATAAGTGTTAGTTTTAGGACCAAAATCAAAAACAAAATTATCGTAATCCAGTAATTCGTAATTAGGTCAGATTACATTCACCGTTTTGTTTTGCTGAGATTCGTCTATATATATAAGTGTCAGT